AGTGCCGCCCCCACAGTTCAGGCGGATGGAACCTTCTAGAAGGTTCCACGGCCGCCCTACATCTGCCTTTCTGTATTACATACTGAATCTAAGTTAAACTGAGCCTGTCTCTGATTAGCTACAACTCTACACCTATCATATCTGATACACGAAGACAACAGCAGTACCGGATAAGGGTAGCTTTATGTTGTTGCTTTCCAGCAGCTACGGGTACCATGGCTGGAAGACAGTTGGATTAACTCTTGAATATACACACAGCCCCAACTCAACTTTGTCCAATGCAGTGCACCAAATCCCAGGTCGTCGTGGTAAAGGTGGGAAGGGTGGTCTGGGTGGACGGTTTTACGTTGTTGATAGCGCAACATGACTGGAAAATCTCTAGAGACAGCATGGACAGCAATACTGTAACAGGTACAGTTTGTCAAGGCTACAACTGGTTGGTTAACTAATACGGGTTACCGAAAATCACAGCAACCACTTTCGCCACGACAGCCCCGGCAGAACGGATTTACGGCTGAAGATCCTGTTATAACACACAGGAACCCAATAATTTCGATCGAAACCTGTAAAAGATCCACACACGGAAGTTTTTGGCCTACTCGATGTGAAGTTCTCTATCTTTTCGTACATCGTAACGCCACGGAGAAGGTATTGAATATGGTGCTATAGCATATGATTGTGATTGCCGCACTCTAGCTCTAATAGGAATGGCAAAACTTTTAATAAAAACAAAGACTTATTTCACCAGCTTACGAAAGAACAAATGGGCATGGCAAAGAACATCTCTCACGAAGCTGCATATTAAATGCTTCGAATGGTTACTATTTGGTGCCACAAGGTTCTAGTACTCAGTAAGCCCATTTTTTTTAGAAATTTGCTGCATTAACCAAATCTGATGTGGTTACTGCTCTTTGTAACGCAAGTGCCTGCAGCTATCTCATACTTTCTCCCAGCTACTTGCTATCTACAGCATTAAACACCTTGGTAAAGGCATCGAGAATGTCAATTCTTGAGTCTCTCTCGGTTCCAACGGGTGCACGGAATGGAATGCCAAACTTGGCTGCAACGGTTGTTGGTGTTTCCTTTCGGCTGACCCACAGCCTGAATTGATAGTTCTGCATGATCCCCGCCAGATTTTTAACGTCAGGGATGTGAGTGAGGGCTGCAAAGAGCTCTGCTAGCTTAGACTCCGACGCCCGCGTTTTTGTTGCCAGCACCTCGTAAATTGTATAATCTGGAAACCAATGCTGCCCCTTCGCGTTGCGGTAATCTTTCACGAATCGAAACCACTGGATCACTTTCTTATTCTCATCAATCTTCGCTCCTGCAAGACCAAGGCGGAAATACTTAAGCATGTCATCAGGGTCTTTACCGCCGCGGATCCATACTTTATTTGACAACTTCATGTCCATCTTGCGTAATTTCCAAGTTGCCTTATCCAAGTCGGCCAATTTCGATAATCCCTTCACGTTAGTCTTCTCTTCGTCATCAGTGGAGAAACCAGTGTTAATATCCCTCGCTTCCTCATCGGACGTCAAGACCCTTGTTGTCTTCACCACCGTGTTGGCATGCAGTAGCTTGCTTTGCTCTTCTTTCCTGAGTACATCAGTAGCAGCAGCTTCACCACTAATAAGAACAATACTGACCAATAGCAGTAACCAGTTCATATGCATGGTTGCACTGAGAATCTCAACTTGAGATGCCTTTCTTTGGAGTTTCAAAGGTCTTGGTTGTCCGTAGGAGAATTGTGAAGTGAGAGGGCTGCCACACAGCCGCTGTGGACTCACGAAGGAATTGAATGTTATCCGACTTCTCCCCATCAAACCATATATATTGTGCAGCCTCGTCTATAAATATCTATTTCTACTAGAGTCAACCAGATATGACGTGACTCTTAAACTGGCTTTTATTAGAGCGCTTCACGCACATCGCGCACTTCCAAAAATGATCGACGGTCGCAAGTTATGAAAACGCGGTCTTTGCAGTCACAAATTATTTAGTATAAACGATTGGATTAGATAAAAAATAATAGAGCACTATTATTGGATAAAATTGAAAACACCTAATGTATGAGGCCAGAATCAGGAAATTGTCTCATGGCGTATTTTTAAGCGTATTTTTCCGTGGTTGTCTGTACCGCTCTCACTTCCGGTAAGGGTCTAACCTAATAACTTTTGACAGATTTATAGTATCAAGTTATGCAGTAAGGGAGAGGTCAACAGATCTTGGTTCAAATTTAGGCGTGGAAAAGTATCGTGGAAACGACATAGAGAGCGTCATTAGCGACGAGAGATTGCTAGAAGAAGCATGACGATGCATGTAGAGGCCAAGCTGCACAAACTTCGTAGGACTCAACTATCTCATGTCTGATCTAGGCGATTCAGGCAGAAGAGGAGTGCAATGGATGCAGCGTAATAAACATCGGCAGGTGAGCCGATTTCCTACCTTCCACGCGTGGCCGAGAATGCCTCCGTGTGTACAGACCATTGAGAACCTCGCCAACCTGATCATGATGCAAAACCTTAAATTAACGAGTACCTAAAAGGACTCCCCCCCCCCCTCGCGAAAACAGGGTGCATTACTGCACATGGTAATATGCCTCAACAGTGTGGTGGGGCTCGAAGAGATAGCCACGAGTCACGACATCAACGCTGACGAGAAAGAAACGGAAAACACATGGAGAATCGGAGGTTAGACAGGACCATCGCTAATTTGCATGTATTAAGCTAATTTGCCAGCGTTACAGCATAAAATGTACAATGGTGATCTAGTCGGAACTTTTGACTTAACTTTTACGTATACATGTACATCATGTGACGTGCTTTTTGGTAAATCTGTTCTTCTCCATGGACTGGATCCTCGATTCTTTATAAGTTGAAGTGGTTTTTTTTAATCGAGGTACATATTGACATCAGTCGCGCGGACGCGCTATTTTGGCAAGTCAGAATCGATATTCTCTACTTCGACTACTTTTTCCGTTTGAACAGACAAGTCAATCACAAATATAGTTTGGCGGACCCCTCGTGCTTCCATTACAAATCGATAAGTAAGATCTGCATTATAAAAAGGATGTATAATAGATAATTTGTGATATCTAGACTACGCATTGCTCAGCACTCGAACCATTTTTCTCGGTGATGTGTCAACAAAGGAGCGCATTAAGTAGTACTTTATTAACTTTGTTTGGGAGGATAACGTGACCGCTGCCTTGGTAGCTTCTGAAAACACCCGCATGGCTCGAATCTGTGCTCATATAGGCAATATTTATCATCAACAAAGGTTCAGCAAGATAGGCGTTGATTTTGCGGTATTATCTTTTTCAATTTGACGAGTTTCTTACGTCAATGGGTTGCTAATAGAATAAATAAATGAATCATAAAATTATGCGGGTAAAACAACACCTTCGTGTCAACTTTCTATCGTTTACGGAATTGAATATGTAAAACAAGGTCAGAACTAGCCGAGCGCCGCCTCTACGCGGCGGTAATTAATGTATGGTCGCAATTGTTAAGGTCTTTCACGCCTCCGCTTCGCTTCGGCGGGATTATGCCCTTTTAAACCACCATTTGTTTATCGATACCCGTTTATCCAATTTCTCGATTACTTTTAAATATTTCATTTAACCCATTATTTCATTTTTTCAGCATACAATTATTTATTACTTTATAACAAAGTCTAATCTCCAAGTTGATCAGTGAAACTCATTGTGACGGGGTCACACAGCACCTTGTGCAGAGGAAGTTTATTTCCTCTAGAGTATACAAACTCTAAGTGAACGACCGTTCACGTGTCCCTGGT